GTGTCATAGATCCTCTTATATGTCTTTAGGGACCATGCAACAAAAAAAGTGCTGGACATCATCAATGAATAGCTAAAGGGCAGAATACTTCTACGTTATATAAATATTTTGGTTTTAATAAATGTCCAGCCCTTAGCTGTTTTGTCATTTTCATGTAATTGTGGCCTGCCTTTCCTCAGATGAGTGATGTGGGAGCTGGAGGAGCCACAGTGTTTCCAGACTTTGGAGCAGCAATCTGGCCTAGGAAGGTGAGCTAATTTTACATCTCTAGAGCTTTTGCATTTGAATAATTTGAGAAATTTCCCTTCCCCCTTATCTTATATTCCTGCTTTGTTATTAATTACTTATGTGAAGTGGGGAATTGATTGTTGCTTTAATGTAAAGTTTTCCAAAATATTACTGCTGTGCTTGTCTTGAAAATGCTACATTACTGGCTGTAATTGTTCCAAGGCAGTAGTTCAAAATATTTAAGCAAGAACATTCAGCCAAGCAGCTAGCTTTCATGTTTCATCTATGACACATTTTTGTGTTTTATTATGTTATGCAATTTATTAAAATGCCAATGGTAAACTGGTGTGTGATTTTGTACATTTTTGAAGATGCAAAAATAAAGCTTGTCCCTAGAGGGCCGTAGATGTGTGTGCTAGTTGTCCTGCCCTTAAGGTATATGTAAACCCTAACAATGAACTTATATTTGCTCCATTTTGATTTGTTAAATAAACAAGCAAATGTTATATCTGTTCAATAAGTGCAAAAAGTCAATGTAAAATCTTATGAGTTGATAACCTCCTGGGCTAACTGCCATTCCCCCCATGGTATGAAGAAGAGGAGGGGAGTGTTCTGTAGTCCTTAAAGCACTTTCCGTCCTTGGATGATGATGATGCTTTTCTTCTATGAATACAGTATGGTGAATAAGTGTTGTCACCCTAGGACAGAAATTGTGTTACTTGCAGAATTATCAGGTGGAAATAAGGGGAGAAAAAAAAATGGGAAACTAATGCAGCCTTCACATCTAAGGACTGGTAGCTGCAACAGATTACACTTTTGGTTTTAATTATTTTTAATGTTTCTGTAAATTGAATTCACTGGGTCACTATACACATACCGTATAACATATTTCTCATTAAGAAATCTGCATTAAAAAAATCCTTGGTTGGTGTCTGGATAAAAATGTAATATAGGTATACCACAAGTCTGTTAGAAGAAGATTTTTATGAAACCACCCAAGATGGCCTAGCGGAGAGTAGTATTTCCCAGCACACGGCTGATTTCCTGTCTAGGAATCTCATAAAATGAAAGCACTGTTATTCCGCAGTTAACCTTAATTAACACTTAGCATTGGGCGATAGGCTGTACACTAAAGGTACACAAATGTCAATTAGTGGGCAAGCTCCAACATTACCAGAGCTGAAACTTTGCTAAATCAGAATGGCCATACCCACCTTTTATACCTGTCAAGTGCTTCTTTTAGAAAGGACTTGTCGTTTAAAGTGATAGTTACGTGAGCTAGAAAGCCTGTAAACTAAAGTTTGGGGTATTTATTGACAATAGAGATCATGTGAAAATGTGCCTGGCAGAATATTCATGTACAATATTTTATATTTACCAGATTATTATAATATAAAATATTTCCAAGTTTTATTTCTATACTCCTTGACCATAATAAAGAATGTATGAAACCACTATACTTCCCCCTAAAAGGCATGGTCCAGCAATTGACTTTTTGAGCTCTAATTCTCAACAACTTTTTATTATAACTATGGAATAGTTATAATTTGACCCATTTATTTTGGAGATATTGTTGTCTACTTGGCTGTAGGCCCTGTTATTCTGCACAGACACACATCCTATGTCTAGTGTTCAAGTAAGTTTATTTTGCACCCAAGGTGATGGGCAGTTGAGGAGAACTTGCTTAAAGCGTATCTATAGCCAAGAAAATTAATTTAATATATTGCAGATTAGCAGTTCTAAGGTATTCTTGTTGTTTCTGTCCTACTCACCAGAAGCGAAAAGGAAACTGTATTTCTGGCAAGGTAGTTTCTATACTTACTGAATATATTATTAGCCTGACAATTAAAAACAAATGCAGCCATCACACTTGAGGCATGATGAGCTGCTACAATATAAAACATTTTTGGCTTAGATATCCTTAACGCTCATGCCTACTGTTACTGTGTGGTGTGGTAACGTGCATTACACACATTGGTTTGATGCAGTGCCATTCATTCTCAATGGCACCCCAGTGCACCTTTGCACCTATGTTGCACCTCATGGCCAGGTAACACACGATCATGTGTTGTGGTGCACTGCATTACTCAAAATGGCACATGTCCGAGTTTTAGCCAAATGAATGGGCCGCACTAGCACAGCGTACAATAGTAAAATGCACCAGATTGCAACAGTGTAATAGGTCCGTTAAGTTGTAGTATACGAACAGAACGCACTATCCAGATAATTCCAGTACTTCAGACTTATTGGAATTCACATCAAATGTAGTATAACCGTGAATAAAAGTGTGTAAAGCAGCAAATACCAGCACTGCACACCCTCAACCTGCTACAACCTCTTACATGTTTCACCTGTAGGCTTATTCATAGAGTTCCAGTGGAAAACGTTAATGTTTCCGTAGTGCAGCCCTCCTGAGGAGAAGAAGCAATGTACATGCAGTCGTTATTGAAGAATTAACTTACTCTCTCAGACGCCTTCCAAAAAGTTTGAAAATCTGTTGACCAAAATTAATCTTTCTAATGTAAGAAGCAGTCATGATCAGCCATAAATGGCCTTAACTTTTACATTGGGCAGTCTGATCAGGGCAGGATCGGGTAGTTTATGGGAAGCTTCAGACATATTAGGCTAAATCGTCATTCAGCACCTCAAAACATCACTGTGACACCAAACTTTGCAAAGCCTAGCCTATTTAGAAAGAGAGGTGAAGAACAATCCAGATAAACTTTTTTTCCATGATCTCATTATATAACAATGTGTGAGCACTATTGTTGTTTTTGTTTTTTCTAATGCGGTCTATATCCAAATTTCAGTGGTTCATCTTCGCGTTCTGCACTAGCAAAAGTTGTTACTATCTCAAAAAATGAGACGAAATCCAACCTTTGGCAGCAGTCAAAACTGGAAATAAAGGCATATTTTCTAATGGGGATGAAGGCCGCTTCCTCACTTGGGCAATTTTCTCTCACTTCCTATTGTATTTGTAGAGCTAGAATTTTAGGATGTTTTCTCTAGTGGAGACAGAGAACGCAATACAAACCTGGTAGAGGCCCCAACCCTTTCCCATGCTATCCAAAATAAAGTTGTTGTTTTTTCTGTAGTCTTGCTTTAACCCCTTCATGACTGAGGCCTTTTTTCATTTTTTTGTACCCATGTTATATTCCACATTTTAGGCCTGAAAATTACTTAAAACCCCCCAACATTATATATTTTCTGAATGCCAAGACCCTATAGAATAAAATGGTGGTAGTTGCAAATTTTTATGTTGCGCAATATTAGCGCAACTCCTTATTAAACCCCAATATTTAGTGAAAAATGTAATTAAATGCCCCAAAACACAACAAAATACCCATTTTTAA